CCTCCCCCCACCAACCCACTGTCCTACCCCAATTCTGCTCCCCAGTGAGGGTGAGGGCATCCATGAGGATTCTTCAGAGTCTGACATATCATTTGGAGCAGGGCCTAGACCCTCCCCAGATCCAGTTAATATCATATATTTTCCACGTTCCCAAATCAGAAAACATTTTGTCTTAAAAGAAAAGATTACTGAGAAAGCTGTATGGTATTAATGCTTGAGGACCCTGAAAATCTCTCCTTGAAAGAAAAGGCCTCACTTTTGAAAGTATCATGCATCTGTTTTCTTAACCTTGGAGGCTCTGAGTATGTGCTAATCTCTGTCCAAAGGAGTTTTCTGGGCAGAAAAATGAACTACATCGCTATGACAAGTCACAAATACCAAGCCTCAGAAATGCTCAGCATTAACATTTCTAAGAAAACTGGTATAGATAGATGTCAATGACACAAAGCCTATGATGATTAGAAGAGAGCCACCTTTCCAAATTATTGTAGTGTTTTTTCCAAGGCTGCTATGATTTTTTACAATAAAGAAATATGAGGTGTATTGGGAACTATGTGTGGAGATGTTCTTGGTAATTTAATGTTTTGAGAACTCCCAGGCTGTAAACTGTTATTATGTAAATCAACTAGCTCCAGCTGCTAATTCTAAGAAACAGAAGAGTATGGAAAGTTTAACTAGGTTTTGACCTTTATGTTCTGAATTTTACATTAGGGAAAAGGGAGACAGAGTTTAGGAGGTTCTATTGTATAATATTCTTGAGGAAGAAGTAGTGAGAGAGGGAACATTAAAAGAGAGACTGGATGGAGGTGTGTGAGAGCCTAGAGGGAATACTGATGTAAAATTTCAAGCTAAGCAAAGGAGACTAATGAGACTGGAGGATAATAGGCAGTGGGGAGACAAGGTCAGGGACTTTGGATGGAGTAATATACAAATAAGGCTTTGTAAACTATTGGAAGGACACTGAATAGTAATAAATGGATTTTCTACCAGACAATCAAATATAGCAGAGTTTGATTGGAAGGTAAAACAATGTGGGAGAAGAAAGTATAGTCCAGAAAGGAGTTGAACAAAGACCAACATTGTCTGTAGAAAGCAAGGAACATAAGAATCAAAGAGAAGAGAAAGGTTCTATTTTGTTTCTGCATTACCTGTGGCACATGGCGCATCTGTGATTCATACCATATTTACATAGGTTAAAGTGCAAGACTCTAAGCACCATCTAGCTATGCTATCAGTATATTTGCTCAGTGTCTGTTACTGAGTCACCTAACTACTTGAGGAAGCTAATCAAGGTTTCAATTACGCCTGTAAGTAAGAAAGTTATACCTCTGTTGCAATTGTAGCTGATTGGTTGATGAAGTATTCATGAGATCTTTCATAAGAGGAACTTTAAAGGTCACTTGTACTATAATAAGTGGAAATCTCTGGGAAAGAAAAAGTTTAGCAGTATTATAGTGCTTATAAAGTCTTAAGAGGCTCTGACTCTACAAGTCTGGTTGCTGCAGTTGAAAACTCATTGCCCTGAGCATTTGTCGTGACTTCTTCAATCCAATATGCCCTTTAAGCACAATGAAACTATAGAGAAGGACTATCTAATGTTGTTTGCTATTAATTAGAGAATAGGATTTCTTCCTTTCGTTAATGGAAAGCCTTAATTTGATCATGATTGCTGCTGAAAATTCTAATGAATGACTACAGTGGTTTCCTCCTGCAATCATATGGTTCTTCAGTTTCTCAGTCAAATGCTGCAAAGCTCATTTTAAGCTTCTCATTTATAACCTGCCGTTATCAGCCCAAAATGAGTTGAAAATCTGGACAAATGTGGATCCTGGTTTACTGCTACCTCAAGTATTTAGGATTTTCACCCCACATATATCAAACCAACAGATAAGAGCACAGCCCAACTTACCTGTACATTCCTTTGTGACATAATACATTGAGATTTCTATCTTCACAGCACTTTGATCTGGCTTCCAGGAAAATGTACAAAATTTTAGAAGACTCACTAGCAGCCAGGACAGTTAAAGGCAATCTGCAAAGTAGAGTAAAATGTTAGGAGGGGGAAATTTGAAAAGGAAAGGAGAGAACATTTCTGGAAAGGACTACTAAAATGGGTAAGGGCAGCTGTGTACATTGTTGACACCATCCCATGGGTTGGCAGTGTAGTCTGATTCCCTGGGTTCTCCTGTATATCTTTCGGCATAATAAGTGAATCCCTGTTCTGAGACAAATCAGAAAGGAATGATGCAAACTCCTTATTCAGAAAATTTCTCCAATAGCCACTATCCACTGCACAAATAAACTCCTCTGATGAGTTCTGAGAGCTATACTAATCTATGGTTGGAAAGGTACAAATTTAATGATAGTCTGATACTATGGGGCTTGTGAACTCCCAAACCATGGATTCTTGAATAGATTTACAGTGCCATACATGATTTTCCTCCTGTGGAGTAGGCCTTACATCCAGTCATAAGGCAGTTGGTTACCCCCATAGCATTTGCCACTGTTGCACCCATGGGCATATCTTGTCATTGTCCTTCACAGAATTCACAACTGAGTAAAACTCTTAATTATTTATTCCCCACATGCCTACATAATACCTTCCAGTACTATGAAAACTAGCCAGCAGGGAAGTACCAACTGGATTTCTCCATGTCCTGTGGCCAATATAAATGCTGTCTTCAGCAATAGTGTTTTGCCATCATATTTTGGTGGGCAACCAAGAGCAATGGCAGTAGCCTGTACTATTTGAGAGGTTTCCAAGACTCCCAGCAACTCAAGGGGAGGTATCCCACACCTGATAGTGGGCTTTTTATTTATTACCTATTGCTTCTGAGAGGAGTATAATCTCCTGTATAGAGTAACTCCATTCAAACTCATATATTTTAATATATATTATTCGCAATGTATTATAAAATTTCCTTCTTTTGGTTTTTTGAAACAGGGTTTCTCTGAGGCTTTGGAGGATGACCTGGAACTGTTCTTGGAGACCAGGCTGATCTCGAACTCACAGTGCTAGGATTAAAGGCATGCGCCACCACCGCCCAGCAATTTCATCCATTTTTTATTCTCTCTTAAATCTTTATTTGTACTCAGAAGAAATTGTAGCATTTATATGAGCTATGTATTTGTATATGCCATTTTTAGTTCATAGAAATGACTGGCCCTGACAAAATAATTAAAAAATCATTTAGATGTTTCCAATGTTAGAAAAGGTAACCTGATTATGAGTCAGCACTTGGTGGTTTTCTAGTTAGTATAATTTCATAATTTCATTCATGTAATGCAGTACATTCTGGTCTTACTAATCCCTCTACATTCTCTGAGCCTCCTCTATCCCCACCAGCTCCCACACACCCCTCACCAGGTCCCTATTCTATTTTTATGTCTTATGTTTTATTTTGGTTTTGCTTTAGAAGACATTGGGACTAAGAAGAGCTGTTCATGGAGAAAGGACATGAAGCTCTTCACTGGCTCCTGGGTAACCCACTAGTGGCCACATCACTGAAAACCATGACTTCCCTCTCCCTCAGCAGCCATAGACTTCCATTAGATCCCTGGGTGTGCCCCATCTTCGGATCAAGGTTGATGGACTTTGTCTTATGCAGTCTCTGTGTAAACAACAATAGTGGCATTTGGCAATCTCAAGAGACCTATTTGGTTGCCACATTTTAAGAGATGCAATTTGCATCTAGTGGATGGAGATCAAAGATGCCATCAAACATCTTCCAGTGCATAAGGCAACCCCTACAACAACAAAATCATCTGGCCTCAAATGACAGCAGTGCTAATATTGAGAGGTTGCACTGAAATATAAAATCTAGTATATAAATTTAAGTGGAAATCTTTGATTCTGTCTATAGTAGCCAGATAGTTGTGTGCTCTTAGCCTAATGAGGGGCGTATTTGCCTAACTGGCCCAGTAGATGGAGTTAAAAATCAGTTAGATTTTTATAGGAAGAAATCAATCCTTTCAAGCCAGGAGAATTGTTTAGAGGGGTTTTCAGGAATATTTTAAACTATTATGGCCTTTAACATGAAGAAAAATATTCAGTATAGACTCAGACTCCTCAAGGCAAAAACCTTGGGGTATTCTTGGGATTTTGTCTTTTTATTTCTTATTCGTGCTGGAACAATATAGTTTTAGGGAAAGTGTAAACTTTTGTACAGTATAAACATAAGCACTTACTATGAAATATATCCAATCAATCATAATCATGGGGGAAAAACAGAACATGAAGCAATGAACACGCAGTTGATGTGTCTTTAAAATGTAGTGGCTTATTTGAGCTCCAAAGAAGCTGGCATTATTTCGTCTGGTCACGTTGCTTCAACTTTCTCCAATATCCTGTACAGGAATGTATTCGATCACTGGAATTCCATAAATATGGAAGAGCTTGAAATCTGTTTCATCATTTCCAACAGTATCACCATATAAAAAGCTCCAAAACTTGCAGGTGATTGTTTCACGACCTGCATCATTAGGTGTAATCATTCCACCAGCAACACAACCACCTCCACATCATAGACTAAAATACCTTGATTATAATGTATTAGGCTCTGCTGAAAGCACTTCAAGTGCACATCTCATAGCTCATCACAGATATCCAGTGAGGTAGATTTTTTTAACTCATTTTACAGATAACAGGTAAATTTTCAATAAGAGATACAATACTCACTTTGCTTGTGTATCAAAAGTAGTTCACATTTTAACAATGAGAAAAGTATTTTCATTGTTAAGACTACAACATAGATAACCCACTTTTCCTCCCACAGAACATAATGAAAACTAAAAACATTATTTTCAATATTTTTTCCAGAAGACATGTCTTAAGGCTAATTATTTGTCTCTGCCAACAAACAGTATATGCCCACACTCTGGGACTGCTATGAAAATTTCCCATCTCTGCAAACTTGTAGAAGTTTTAAACTGCACACCTTCTCCATTTTATAGTGTGTAGAAGATGGCCATGATTTATCTTATTTTATTTTTATCTTTAGGAAGCACTGAAAGAAAACCATAAGAGAAAAGAAACAGAAGAGAAGAGCCGGAGGGCAAAACTCGCAAAAGAGAAAGCTGAACAAGAGAAGCTAGAGCGCCAGAAGAAGAAGAAGCAGCTCATTGATATAAACAAAGGTATGAAAACATTTCCAAGGCTTTGAGTATGCTGTGACAGCACAGGCCTGGGAAACATGAAGATTACAGTCTCCAGAAAATTTGTTACAGCTTAGTGAGCCTCTATTTTAAAATTAATATGTAATGCATATGCATATGCATACATACATACATACATACATACATACATACATACATACATACACACACACACACACACACACACACACACACACACACGGTCTGGGAATATTGCTGAGTGGTAGAGCATTTACTTAGCATGAACTTTACCTTAGGTTCTATCTTCAGGTACCCCCATAAAAGCAATTGAATTCTATAAAGTTGCATAAAGTACAAAGTGATTGATTCTTTAAAAAATTTTTAGTTATAAAGTGATTTTCTTCTTGGTAGAAAACTAATACTATTACTTCTTTCTGTTAGATTTATCTCATGTTGCTGTTTTTATTTCTTCTCCTTCTACACTAAACACTGAAAATTATGCGTAATCAATATGAGATGTTCCGTTGTTGTCATCTTGCTTTTCATTTATTTGCTATGATAGTACGTTCTAGAGAAGGCCATCAGGAAGAAGAGAGTGAGATGAGAAGTGAAAGGCTGGACTGGGGAGATGAGGTTCAGACCTTCATTTCACTTTGTAGGCATGTATCTGTTGACAGTGCTGTAACAACAGTTCTCCTTGGGGGCTTGTGCATGTCAAGTCATAATAAATATTGACAGCACTATTACCAGGTGGAGAAAGGAGTACTGCAGAGCATCCACAGTAATATCCACTACAAGTTCTCTCAACTAGCAAACATGACCATATGTTAGAAGTAGGGCTGGTTTTTTTGTTTTTGTTTTTGTTAGATTTTGTGGAAGCGAGGGTAAAATGCTCAGAATGGTGGCATAGATCTATAGTCACAGCACTAAGCAAATAGAAACAGGAATATCACCACTGTAAGGCCAGACTGAGCTACAAAATGAGTTGTACTTTATCTAAAAACAGATGGGGTATTGAGGGGCCAGATGGACAGATAAAGGAAGGTGATTAGGACTCAGGTGTCTTCACTGAAATATTAAGAATAGAAGGCATGGCTGTTTTCCTGGAGAAAGTAATTTTCACAGTAGGGAGAAAGGAGCCACCTATCTTCTTTTCAGGACTAAGAGGACTAAAAGGTTAACTAACCCTAACCCTGAATTCAACCAAAAGCAAAACTAAATCTGATCAAGATACAAAACAGTATGTTTGATATTGGAGTGAGCACTCCCTGCTGTATTTAGCAATAATAAAAATTGCAAGAACTTTTATAATATTGGCCATATAGCAAGCACTGTTCTAAGATTTACTACATTCTAGGACAAGTTTCAAGTTCATCCTTCTACCTATATGCAGTGGGCACTATAATTGTCACATTGTTTGGTTAAGAAAACTGAGGGTCATACAGTTTAAGGAATTTGCCTCAATAGGGTACACAAACAACAAGTTGAATGGAATGGAAATTGTCTGAGTACAGATTCTTTATGCTTATCCTTGCCTCTGTCAATTACCATTAATAGCAGCTGTTTGTAGCATTTATTATGGTCTAAGACAGACATTTTAGGTATTGGCCCATGTGCTTATGGAAACTGACAACAAGGAAGGTCCACAGGCTAGAAATCCAGGATACAGCAAAGTCTAAGTATGCTTTTCCTCCTGCCTGAGCAAAATTTGTCTTTTCATATTACTAAGATCTCCAGTTGATCCGTGAGATCCATTCTTATAAGAGAATGCAATTGGCTTTATTCAAGCCCATCAATTTGAAAGTTAGAATTTTCCAAAAATATCCTCACAGAAACATCCAGGATAATGTTTGACCAAATTTCTGAACTATGTTGCTCAGTCAAGTGGACACATAAAATTAAGCATCACAAGATGAGTGTCGAAAAGCAGAGCTAGCAGTCTCTAATGATTGCTTACATGTAGGAGTTGAGAGGTGAAGGCACTGAAGAAGGTAGTATACTCACAGAGAAAGAAAATTCAGTATTAAAACAGATTTTGTTGTGAGGGTTAAAATGAGGAGTATCATTTGGCCATGTTCGGTTTTCTAATGTCTTAGAAAGAAACCTTTAAGAAGGAGATCTTTAAGGAAAATCCTTAAAAAGCCATTCTATACATGAGGAAGAAACCCAGGAAATCAGTCTAAACTACATGTATCGGGTTTTGCTTGAAGATTGGAGTTGTGAAGCATTAGTTTACCAGAAATGCTGGAAGAAAATGCTAGAAACTGGTAGGTTAAAGTAACAGATCTATTATCTTCCACTGCTGGAGGCTTGAAGATCAAGGTGCCAACCAGGCTACATTCCTTTGGAAGATACTAAATTCTCCCTTCACCTCAGTATTTACCAGTCTTTCACTATTTCCCTGAAAATATGCCTACATCTGATCAAGATACGGACAATTATATCTTCTAGTATCACTGTAAAAATTCAAATATGTTTTTTTCTGCATATGCTGAACTTGAGGGATATGAGCCTAAAAGATGCATTTTAAAATGAGATTTATCTATGCTAGATGGATGGCTCAGTGGTTAAAAATGCATTCTGGTCTCTCAGAAGATCCAAGTTCAGTTTGTAGCACCCACATCAGGCAACTCACAACCATCTAATTCTACTTCCAAGGGATATTATGTCCTCTTCTGACCTCCATGGGCTCTGCACTCACACATGCCACATCCCACTCTCAGACATTCATGTAACTTTAAAATGAAAAGGAATAATATTTATCTTTTAAAGACTGTTACTATATGTAGGTCAATCAAATAGTAATCTTCCATATTAGCTTCTTAACTTGTAGCCTATGTGTCACAAATATAAATTATTATACATTTCGATAGTATTTTACATGTTGCCTATGTTCATATTTCAGAATAAGTTTTGAAAGACATACTTAAGATTATTCAGGTACAGTCTAAGTTGAAAGAATGAAAAGATGCAGAAAAGGAAGAAGAATATACTCATATGTCAATATGGAGTTCCATGTATCACATAGATATGTATAATTTTATCCATTAATCAAAAATGGTAAAAATGTTTAAATGCCAGTTACTCTGATGTGATCATTGGACATTGAATGCATGTAAATGTAATTATCACATGGTACCCTGTAAATGTATAGAGTTAAAATAGTAACTGAGGAATAGAGGATACAGTGCAGTAGTCAAATCCTTGTCTCCCACTTGCAAGGACCCTGGTTTCATTTCCAGTAACACAAAATTAATAATAACTAAAAACCTTTTATAATTTGACTAAAACTACATATACTTGTTAACCATTTCTAACTACACATGCTACTTAACAATTTCTATTTTATATCAGTTTAAGAAAAGGACCAATTATTGTAGAACAATAGTCCATGAGCTCATAAAACTACTAGATAGAAACAATGAAATTTAGTAATATGGCATGCAAAATTATATACATTTATCATGGAGAAATGTATTGAGATTTAATTATTCAAAAAGAATTGAATAATTATAACATAAAAGATTGTATCTGAAATCCAGATATCATCAACTGAGTTCAGATGTAAGAACAGATAGCACAAAAGCCGAGAAGAAAATGTTAATGTTCAAGATAGAAACATAAAAACATCATGTATCAAATCTCCGTTTTTTAGATACCTGGAGATCAGAATGCAAAAGTCATGACAGAAAATCATATTTCTTACTGTAAATGAGAATATAGGTATTATATGCTAAGAAGTGCTGTAATTTGTGAGCCTGATTAAGAAGTGACTTCTCTGTTAAGAAGGTGTCCATTTTAGCTCCACCACCTAGCTTTATGCTCAAATTCTTTTTCTGTATCCATTCATCCATTTATCTCCTATAGTTTTAGTGAAGATTAAATGAGATAATAAGTATAATAACACAGGGCCTAGAATATACTCTCTGTTGATGCTGATGAGTCTTTTAATGCTCATTGAAGAAATGCTCAAGTAATAGTTCCGACCTTTAAGAAGTTTTCAGTTTTGTCAAAGAGATTTAATAAAGCTGAACCAGCAGCTAGGAAATTGTGTGCTGATACATGATAGAGATTATTTGCTTGGTAGGCCTATCCAAAGGGAGAAATCAATTTGGTTTGGCAAAATGTCAACTCTTTGTGGAAAAGAACAAGTGTAGTTTCTGTGCATATTAGTTGAGCTCCTTGAAAAAACGGGTCAAATTTTTGCTATACAGAGGCAGGCTTTTCAAGGAAATGGAAATTACATCATCAGTGCTACACAGCAGCACATCAGGTATCAGGGCCATATGTAAGCTATGTTTACTGGATTGTGGGAAAATACAACAAGATGATGAAGAGGATGAGATCCTAAATTCAAGTCCTGTCTCCATCATTTACTAGACTATAATCTCTGTCAGGGTGTTGCAGCTTTCTGTGCCTGACTTTCCTCATAAAGTGAAATAATATCTATAATTTTTTTTCTCAGTTGTGAGTACTAAATGTGGGAACCAATAAAATTGCCAGAGGTAAGCATTATTTGTACTCTAGCCTACACAGCAAATATATAGTGATGCCTTTTAACATATTCTCAGTCTCTGATGCTTTCGTGCTAAGTGGATATTTTCTGTTGTTAGTGTGGTCAGGAAGACAGTTGAGTTTGGAGAACTGTGGGAAAGGGAGGATTGAGACAGCCTACGAAAGTCCTTGAAAGTGAGACACAAGAGTATGGTATGATGAGGGAGGAGAGCCCAGGTTATTGAAGGAATCCTTTCAGGGTTTGCTGAGGTAGTAAGCCTGAAGCACAAGAAAGGAGAGGTGACTACGAGGAGGACGTAGCTGAGAGAGAACAGGGAAAGGTGAAGAAAAAGGAGTTAGCTGGTAGCTGATTCTTTCTTCAAAGGAGTTTAAACCTGTGGCAGCTTAAGAAGGCGCTAGCAGGAAGGAAAAAGTTCATGAAAGAATGAAGGAAGACTGAGTTGCAAGCCACAGTATTTCTAGAGAGCAAGAGACTTATTTTTTCAGAACTGCACTGTTTTACCAAT